TTGATCCAGGCCCTGCCCCGTGCAGAGCGGCTGCCGGGCTGGAGTGCTGCTCCCCTTCCTGAGGGCGAAACACTGCAGCAAAGCAGGAAGGAGAGGGAAGGAGAGCCGGGAATCCTCAGCATAACCTGTCCCTCTCTGGTTTGTTTTGTTTTTTTTTTTTCCCATAGGATCCCATCCGACTAAGATACAAGTTAATGTTCGTGCAGGGTGTGCAGCCCTTCAGTGAAGCGGGAGAGGTGACCGGCTTCCCCGAAGCAGAGCTCTGGGGCAGCAGCTGAACTTCTCCAGCCTTGGACATTGCCGTGTTGCCTTATCCATGGACAGGGAGGGCAGGGGGAGGGACCGTGGCCGGGAGGGCTGGCCTGGGCTCGGCAATGGCTCCTTTCCTTGGTGTCTGTTGTCTCCTTCTTGCCCCGGGTTTCTTTGCACATGCCTGGCTGGGGCCTGCTCTGCCCTGGTCTTTCTGCAGAGCTGACCCTGCGGTATGGGTGGTTGTGTCCTGTAGAGCCCTGCACTGTGGGAGCCTGGTTGCTGCTTTTATGCAGTGTTTCCTTCATGCTTTTCCTGCTGCTTTCTGGGCCAATTTTCCCTCTCTCGCTTTACATGTTTTCCTGTTGTGCATCAGCCCTTCTGGCAGACTGCTCGGCACCAGGAAAATTTTCATGCCGGGAATGTTGCCACTATGCTTCCCCTGGGGCCTGTGTGCTTCGTGCGGACGGCAGCATAAGAAAGGGTGAGAGGGGCTCTGCGGACTCAGGTGGATGTGGTTCAGATGGCCAGGTACCAAATGGAGAGTTGAGAGCGAGCACGGGGAGGGCTTTCGGCCACCCTGTGGGAGGAGCCGGCCGAGCCCTGCCAGCTTGTGTCGCTAGGAGCTTCTTCCAGAGCTGCTCTTGCTGCTGCTTCTTCCCTGGGCCTCCTCAGCTCCCACCATGTCCCTAGGGCAGACGGGGGTTTCCTCTTTCCAGCGCCACCCTCTGCGCGTGAGCTGAGCGCGGTTCCTGACTGCATAAACCAATGTGCTCCAAGACCTGATTTGTGATGGTTGTTTTTTGTGACAGCTCCCCCGAGCCGGGGGAGCGAAGGGGCACGTTAAGAGTTCTGCTGTCTGGATAACGCTGAGCGAGGGGTGAAGCTCTGGAGCAGGGCAAGAGCCGAGCTGCCCCGTCCTCCGCACGCAGGAGGAAGAAAGCG